TCTTATATGGCCTAAGTCAATGAGTGCACAGATTCATTCTGAGGGGCGATCGTGAGATGAAATATGTAGATAACAGACCAGCTTGGTAGGAGGAAGGTCACACAAATGGCACTGGGGAACTGGAATGTCAGCAGGAATCATATTGGTAATAAATTGTTGGAAAGCTAGGAGGGAAAATGGAGGGATATTATTTTCTGACACACAATTAAGTGTACTGTATTCAATGTCAAAGTTACCAGTGGGAAAAGGAAGCACAATACGAAAATCATTCATACACAGAGCTGGGAAAAAGCATGAAGTATTTAAGGACAGTTAAGCTCGGCCATGAGGAAAGAAAATTCGGAAGAACCATGCATGTCAAGGAAAATGTTTTCTTTGGTGCAGTGTCAAGTGACGATGAAGATGATACCAGAAAAGAGATAAAGAAGAAAGTATACCTAATAACACATGACGTATGCAGTACATAGTTTGCAAAACTCCACTGTGGCCAAAAAAATGCAGCCATCATACAATGTAAGTCTTATACAATTATAGGTGCAGTAGAAAATGGGTAGAAAGGTCCCAAAAATGCTATTGTAATAACCTGCCCCATCACCTACTTCATGCATTAATTCCAAAATTCCTTGATAATCTTTCTGGCCATGGTGAAGCATCTCAAAATAAATCTTTCACCTGCTACCTGGACTCTCAGAGATCACTCTAGATATTCCATTACTCCTAACTGCTATTACATTCACTTGGTACTGTCCTAAATAAAATGATTCCAGTGGTCAGCATTTAAGACAGGTTTCCATAGAGAGAAAGAGAGCATGCTAACTTAGCAGTTTTAAAGCACTTGTTAAGGCAGATTTATTATTTTTTTTAGCAGGTATCAGACAACATTTATAGAAATCTCTCAGATCTACATGGTTCTATCATCATGCCACTGTTTTGTAATATCAAAAGAAATCAAATAAGACCAAAACACCTATTAAAAAATACTATCCAAATACACTATTTATCTGATACAAAGCCCCGATACCTGTTTGGACAAACAACCTTCACCACTTTGTTGCGACCCCCATCACCGTCCGTCAGTCCATCCGTCGGTTGCTCCGCAGGGTTATCGAAAAACTATTTCTAGTCCCTCATATTAGCTATGCATTTCTCTGGGAATTCAGTAAACCAAGGTTGTCATATCTTATAGAATGCTTCTAGGTTTAGCTGAGAAATGGAGTACCCTTTTTCCATCTTAGCTACATGGTGGATTTGTTTTTAACCTCATCCCAACTTATATGGCTCTGACGTTTCCAGTTGCAAGCAATTATAAGCTTCATAGCCATAAAAACTTGAATGACCAAACTTCTCAATGCTATTGGTAGAATATTCAAGCCATAGTGCAATATTGCTATTTTCGGATGGGGACAAATAACCGTCTTAGTCAAGGCAGCAATAACCTTGAATATCTGATCCCAGATCGGTTTAATAAGTTTACACTCCCACCACAACTGAAGATTATTTCTGATGCTTTCTCCACATTGCCAACAACCCTCAGACATTAACGGATTAAACTTTACGTATTATCTGAGGGACAATATGCCATTTGAACATTATCTTAAATTGGAGCTCCTTTATATTTATACAATGTGAAGTTCTTTTTATAAAACTCCAAATTTCAGACCATATTTTCCACTCACTCTCTGTGTCAACCTCTTGAGACCATCTGCCCCAGGCTTTAGGGAATCTTTCTGGCAGCATTTGCCCCAGCATGAAGTACCATCTTTTTAAACAGCCTGTTTGATGGACATTAAAAATAAGTTTTTCTAACTTTTCTTAACAGGGATCCACACTTGGTTGTATATCACTCAGCACTTATCTGCTTTCGGGTCTCTTTACTGCAGCCCATACAACTTGTCTCCACCAGAGCGGCCGCACACATGAATACCTGGCCACTTGTTCAGACCTGCTATAGCCGCGTTACCCACGGTGTGCAGGGAACGCCGATATCGCTTGATGTACCTTAGGTCTCTCAGACGCTCCGCGTCGTCACGTCATCACGTGAGGAATCACAAAGTAAAGATTCTTGATCTCTTAAGTCAGATTATGAAATTAATACATACATAAAATGCACAGACAAGCTCCAAATAACTCATAATATAACACAACACACTATTCCTACCTTTTATACATATGCTTCTTAAAGAAAGCCAGTACATAGAGAACTTCTCCTCCATAAGGCCAATGGCATTATTTTGTGTAATGAGTATGATACACATCATTAAGTATAGTATAGTATTCTTAAAAAAGAATATATGTAAAAGGTAAATTTTAATTGCCCACAACAAAGCTCTTGAACAAAATTAAAAAAATAGGTGAGATGTTAAAAGTGTACAGTTAATTAGTTATTTGAAGCACTGGGATTAATATATTCTAAATGGTTTGCATATTTGTTTTGGGGATAACAGATTCAAAACTAAAATCCAGATTTAAATGTAAAGGGCTGTAAATGTCAAAATTCTGAGAGATGAGCATTCAATAACAACTACAAATATGTACATGCAAACAATTTTGTATGCATATATACTAAATATAAATTTAAAAAAAAATTATTTTCTCATATAGCACTTAAAGTAACTAATTAAACATTATTTGCAAAACTAACTATATCTCCACATCACATGTACTACTAAGTAAAAATGTGGCGTAAAAGTCTGCATAATTTTGTCATGTCAACTTTAAACGTCTTCTGGTATAGTTCCCACTGAAGGAAATCAGTAAAACCTAACCTACAGATATTTATTAAGACTGGGTGAAACCTTTCACCTTGGCCTATAAAACATATAAAAAATATCTTTGCCTCATTGAATAGAGTTTACAACAAATTTCAGTTGTGACTATTTTTCATCCTCTCATGCCATCTTCGTGTTTACCAAGTATTTTTCTCTGCGCTATTATAGGAAAATGTATTGACCATACATTGTGTAATTGATGTCAGAACATGTAAACACCATGTTTGTGAAGAACAAATGGCCACTCCATTCTTTAGCGCATACATAATTGTAGTAATAAATTATACTTCAAGGGCAAAAGATCAGATTTTTCTTAAAGGAAGATAATGTGGATTTTTTTTCTTGCTTTTTTCTTATCTTAGTTCTTGCAGGGAAATATAGTACTTGAATTTGCCATTTGTGAAGTAAAAAAAAAAAAAAAATCAAATTGCCCATACCTATTTAACATTGTATGTCTTTCCATAACAAAAGGTAACAGCTTTCACAGCTAAAAGTCTATTTTCCCAGCACTCTCTTTTTCCTTAGAAGGAAAATAATGCTAAATAAAAGCTTGTGCAAGATACATGTAAGATTAAAAGCATTAAACACTAAAACAAAATAACAATGTAACAGAAATTCAACTGTACAGGGAATATTTTTTTTCAAAGAAACTACAATGGTTTTTCTATTGAAAATACTGAAATTAACATTTTTAGTAGAAAAAAGTAAAATTGCTTTCCAGTATGTTTAAAAGAAAAGTGACAGTAGTTAGCTCCGACACGTGACTTCAAGAAAAAAAAAATTCACATTTTTTAAATTTTACTTTAGCAGGACATGCCATCCAATAAATAAATATAAAACATATTGCTGTTCCTTATTAGTAATTATGCTGCAGAGAGTTCTTCACTATTTGGCCACTGGCTGCTAGCATTGCAAGCATGCAAATAGTACTAAGAGTAATAAACTGCAACTGTGCATGCTGCCGAATGCGGTCATTGATAATTCTCAAGGCCTGTACTTTATATTCATTCGAATACAGATATTACTGATTTCCTAAACGTTCCGGAATGTTACAGCATTGGTTTGATCAACTGAATCCTTACCGCATTCAGCTTTAGTAAATCTGTGAATTGCCAATGTGGTCAAAATTCTATCATTTTCACAAAATTTTAGCAATTTGGAAAAATATGGTGTTTTATAAATAACCTGTGTGATGAAACCACCATGCTATTCGGGACTTTTATGTTTTATTGGTTCGGTAGCCATAACTACCGAACACCGACCACCCCCTGGCTCATTATCTTCAAAGAGAACAGTCAATTAAATTCTGTACCTGTTTGGCCGCCATTCGTATAGTCGAACACCATGTGCAGGAGAAAACGGCAGCCATCTTGTTCACACGAAAGGAGGCAGCAGGACTTGATCGTCAAGTGTCTGGAACTAAATTCGGACACTCGACTTCCCGAACACTGGTCAAACTCTACGAACGCCTGCTTCCTTTCCCGAACAGCCAAGAGAGTACTGTTCGGTAGTTTTGTTCCCACAAACTAGGGGAACAATCGCTGCTGTAAGCCAGGGGGCATCATTTTTTCATTTTTGAAACTTTTCAAAATGGACCGACAGTACCACTTAACTCATGGAATTGTTTCTGGGCAGGAGCCTCGTGTGCAGTCGGTCAAAATTAGACTTCTATACAATTCCAAAACTCCTGAACTGATTTGGGTGATTTTTGGATATGCTGGTCACCCAGATCAGGGCTATCATGTGATATAACACCTATGTGGATTTTATGTGGTTTGGGGTACTTTTCAAGTTTTATGAAAAGATTGTTTTTTTCTGCCTTGAGATAATTGCGTTACTCAATTATCTCACATGCAGAGAGGAGGGAATTATCTGTTTGTATTGGGAGTGTCACATTTTGTCACTTTATTATTATTGGTTGTAAATTTTGTGTCCCTGTCCCCCACAAGGTCCATGTGGGAGTGCCCCTTGCACGGGGACTTGCATAAAAGACAGTGTGTCACCCATTAAAATCATTCCTGTTGTACCCTTCATCTAGTCTAGACTGATGTTTGGGTAACTGTCTACTTGCTGGGGAGAACACTACTTGGTTGCTGCATTCATCTGAAAACACCCGAACTGCATGCTATAATCACTCAGACTCAGCAGTTCGGGAGGAAATAGACGAACAGGGTAACTGCAATACCAACATTCTTAACGATCCAGTACAAGCACTTTACTTAGTCTACCTCAATACAAAAGAAAGCGGCCCGATCCTCCTTCTCCTACAGAGCGCCGCAATTGTGGAACGACCTCCCGCACAATTTAAAATCTTCCCTAAGCCTAAAGTCATTTAAGAGATCCCTCTCTACATACCTCAAAACAGAATGCACGTGTCATGGTTGATTATATATTTCCTGCCTGTTCTATGTTAAATTTTGTATATATTGTGTATTAATATTGTTTTTGTATTTTGTTGTACCTAATGTAACAATGCAATGATTTGTGGACCCAGGACATACTTGAAAACGAGAGAAATCTCAATGTATCTTTCCTGGTAAAATATTTTATAAATAAATAAATAAATATAATAACAACCTGGTAAAAGTGAAGGTGGTCCCTCTGAATGCAATGCCCTGAATTTGCTTTGGCAGATTTAAAAAAAAAAATTCTGACAAATTGAATTGGACTAACCAAATTTGTCACATGGGCACAAGTCCAAAAATACATCTAAGATGTATTAAAAATATATACAGTTTAAAATTAGGTTTTATTTCTAACTAATATGATGCATACAAATTAGTGTTTGTTGTTGTCACTAGACTGTATTTTTTAACAGTTTTATCACATCTGACTTGTTTTATCTGTTTCTGTATTTTAACAAAAGTGAGAGACTTATTTGACAGATTCATCTACAGAGTGCTCCTATTTATGGCACAATACATTTTTTTCTTTTCTTTACAGTACAGAAAAAAAAGTCTAGCTTGCCAATGTCTTATAACTCAGCAACCATTACATTACATAACATGCTTCAACGTTAAGGCTCCATTAAGACAGTTAACTTAACGTTGTCACATAGCGAATTCTTAACTTTACCCTGATACAAATGTGGTTTTAGCTAGGCATAAAACATGAAAAAAGTGAAGTGAGTGAATAAATACAATAGCCTATACTAGAAATAACATGAAAAATAATGTATTCCTGCAACATAGGCATGCTATAATAACAGTCTAATTTTCACTGTACCGTTAAGTTTGATTGAACATGTTCAACACATAACTTATAGACTCATAACGGTAAACTTTGTTGTATTCGTTAAAAAAGTGCACGGAGCAGTGAGAGACTCAGAAACGGTGTCCTTTGAGGGGGCACAACTGATATTCTACCGGGACTTATCTAGACATACACTCATCTGGTGGAGAACCCTCAAGCCAGTCACCCAGTTACTGCAAGAGCACGCGATCCCCTACCGGTGGGGCACATGCCGGATCCTGGTTGACAAGGCTGGCAAACAGCATAAGCTGACATCTCTCCTAGAAGCACCAGCATTCCTCCGGCTCCTGGGCATACCAGCGGAGAAAACGCCACAGATGGCCCACCCGACATGGACAGTTGAGGGCATCACTCCCTTTGTACCCAGGAAAGGGGGACGTGAGCAACAAACCTCACCTACCTGAAAGCAGCACCTACCGACACATCTGCAACTGGCCCGCACTTAGCGTGGCCCACATGACTGTCGGATGCAGAGACCCACTGCATAGAGAACTTTACCCTAATGCAGGACTACACTGGCTCTGTAAGCTATAAAATAAGCCCACTGTTATGTTTTACCCCCACCCCCACACCTCCCCTCTTCACATTATGTGAAACGAACTGCAGCCGTTACTCAGCCACCTATAAGCCATACGCACATATGGCCCACACCCTAAGCCTCACCCCAAGATACGATCTACAAGCAAAGTAATGTTGCCAGCAGAGGCTAACCAGCTAACCACCCCTCCCCACCAAACGCCTTAGCAAAGCAAGAAGCCCATAGCGAGACACTGATAAGGGCGATAAGGCGATACAAGATCCCGAGCTAGCTCCCCTCATGAAAGGAAACCGACCTAACACACACTGCACAAACAGAGGGAACCTATAAGTTTCATATGTTTTGTTATCTTTTGGCCAATACTCGCAAAAATAAAGAATTAAAAAAAAAAAATGTGCACGGAACTTATGCCACTACCAAATCTGTATAGTTATGCATATATGTATGCTGTTGTGGCGTCTTGACAAAGATATTGTACCTACCTGCACAAAAATAAAAATAAAGAATTTAAAAAAAATAAAATAAAATAAACAAACAGGGATGAGGATAATGCGAACATGTTTTTTTCTGGAATGTACCCTGCTGTGCATGAATATCATTGGACCCGCTTATTCATGCTCAAAAATATGTTCAGTTAAACCCTTCTGATCTGAAAATAAAATGTAAACATTAACTGGTGTTTGCGCTATGTAGCTGTTCAACCGTAATTCACCTCTTTCATATTAAATGCACCCACACTTATTATATATCATTTTGTTCAGAAGAAACAGAGTTTTCATGTCACAGCAAATATTTGTATATTAACTATAAGCTAGGATTACAAAATTGTATTTCTAGCCTATAGTGCCCCACTCACTCATGCACCTCCTGCAGCACAGATAGGGTTAAAAAGTATTTTTTCATTTACCTGCACTTATTACCAGTGTAGGGTTAAATTGACAGGGACAGTCCCCCCAGACAACTTTAATGAGCTGAAGTGGTCTGGGTACCTATAGTGTCCCTTTAATGTAATACCTAGGTCAGGCATAGGCAACCTTCGACACTCCAGATGTTGTGGACTACACCTCCCATGATGCGTTGCTAGCATTATGGGTGTAAGAGCATTATAGGGCATGTAGTCCACAACATCTGGAGTTCTGAAGGTTGCCTATCCCTGACCTAGGTAATGTATTAAAGCACAAAGGGGGAATTTACTTTGTGGGGTTTCTTTAAAAACCTACTGTCATTTAGTTTTCACCAACCCAAAATTCTATATTTTAAGCAAATGATTTAAATATTTCAAAGTAATGTATACAAAATGTTTATAAAGAACTATTAGCAACATCAATATGATTTTATTTGTCTACTTTGAAAAGGTATGGAATGCTTAAAAAGATCTGGAGAAAAAAAAAAAATCTCTTTACATTTTTAATACCCACAGAGTCCATAGTGGTAACATCATCCATCTCATCTTTATCACAGCAGAAACACTTTGATTGCTTAAACAGGTGCCCGATTAGAGGGTACTTCATGGCTGAGATCATCCAAAGATAATAAACAGGAAGGTTAAATGCATTTGAAGGAAGAGCATCTATCAGCTGCATTTGATTTTAACACTTTGAGAACCAGTTTAATGTGCTGCATATTAATCAATACATTTTCTTATGAATTTTTTAAAACCTATTGGATTTTCTGGAATATCTAGCTCGTAAAAGTACAGGTTACTACTACACAGAATATTGATACAACACCCAATGTGACACTTATGTAGGTATACTTCCCAATAGTAGCGTCTAATGATAACAGCAAGATTCTTTCTTTGCAAATCTCTGGAAGACAAATATTGCCACACATAGTGAAATCTGTATAATAGTATTGTAAGAAAAAATATGAGATGTCAACTCACAAATATAGAGCCGTGACAGGCTCTGTATGGTCAGCGTTGGGGTGCCAATAACTGTCTTTGAAAGTACTCCAAAAGCAGGATCTTAGTAGCAATAGAAAATTTACTAAAACAATAATAATAACATAAAGTAAAAATAGGACATATATAAGCAGTGTGCAAAAAGGCAGCAATGTACACTACCGCAAGATATGTAATAAGTGTCACATTGGGTGTTGTATTGATGTGGTAATTGTATTAGCACTAGAGTTGAGCAGACACCTGAATGTTCGGGTCCGGCGGGTTTGGCCGAACTACAGAAAAAAGTCTGGGTTCGGAATCGAACCTGAACCACATTGAAGTCAATGGGGACCCGAACTTTTGGGCACAAAAATGGCTCTAAAAAAGTCCTGGAAAGGGCTAGAGGGCTGCAAAAAGAAGTAAAATGGGGGTAAGAGTAGGACAAGTGCCCTGCAAACAAATGTGAATAGGGAAATCACGTAAAATCACTTAAAATAACATAAAATAAGCAGCAGCTTAGTAGATAACTCCCTAATCCCACGGTATTAGAGAGCTATCTACTAAAAGGCTGAAAGACCTAAATTGGTCTTTCAGCCACATTTACTAATACTAAGTAAAGATTACTTAATATTAGTAAATTCAGCCCCTACTCGCTATACCGTGAGTAGGGGTGTGTCTAGTAAACAGTGAGTATCCAATGGCTTCTCACTGTAAAAACAAACAAAAAACAACAAAAAAAACATTTTACTTTATGGCCCCCACCCCCTGAATGGCGGGTGGGGGCCATAAAGTAAAATAAGGGGGGGACCTCTTGTCCTCCCCCCGGCACCCACCCCTGAGTTGCAGGTGGGGGCCCTACATAACAATGGGGGGGACCTACTGTCCTCCCCTCAGCCCCCACCCCTGCGCAGAGGGTGGGGGGCCCTACATAACAATGAGGGGGGACCTACTGTCCTCACCCCGGCCCCCATCCCTGAGCAGTGGGTGGGATCCCTACATAATGATGAGGGGGACCTATTGTCCTTCCCCTGGCCATCACCCCTGCACGGTGAGTGGGGGCCCTACATAACAATGATGGGGACCTACTGTCCTCCCCTGGCCTCACCCCGCCAGGCGGGTGGGGGCCCTACATAACAATGAAGGGGGGACCTACTGTCCCCCTCCCAGCCTCCACACCTGAGCGGTGGGTGGAGGCCCTAAATTTAGAATAAGGTGGGGGAACTATTGTCCTCCCTCCAGCCCCCACCCCTGCGTGGCGGGTGGGGGCCCTATATAACAATGAGGGAGGGGACCTACTGTGCTCCCCCTGGCCCCCACCCCTGAGTGGTGGGTGGGGGCCCTAAATTTAGAATAAGGGGGGGAACCTATTGTCCTGCCCCCCGGCCACTACCCTGAGCGGTGGGTGGGGGCCCTAAGTTAGAAAAAGAGGGGGACCTATTGTCCTCCACCCTGGCCCCCACCGCTGGATGGTAGGGGGGGCCTAAGCAAAAATGTACCCCCCGTCACCCCTCTCCCCCCAAAAAATAACCTCTACCTAGCCCCCTCATCCTAAAAATAATGAGGGGGGGACCATAAGCTAAATACCTGTAAAAAAAAAAAAATAAACTTACCATTTGATGTCTTTCTTCTAAAAGCTTCTTTCTTCAGCCCCAAAAAAGGCCAAATAAAAATCCATAATAACCGACGCACTTAAAAAAAAATAAAAAAATAAAAAATTTCACCCATGGAGGGCTCCGCGCAGACTGAGCTCTGCAGGGCAGGTCAAGGCTTATAAAGCCTTGACCCGCTCTGCAATTAGGCTCAGA